TCTGTAGTGAAAATGTAATAACCATGGATATGATCAAAATGTTGTTTTTCTTTGTTTCCTGTACAATTTTCTTGAAAAGAATTCTTTAACTGTGAAAGCCTAGCACAAAGCGGTGGACATGATGATGAAAACTATAGTTAGAGAAGGTCCAATTTTGTTAAATCCTTTTCTTCAAATAATTCATTGGTAGCATCTTACTTAATAAAACAAACGAGATCCTGACAAGGTTGGAAAGTAATCAGGGAACTGTTCCCTTCATAAAACTACACAAATTTAGATTAAATTTTAATGTCTACATTTGAATTAGACAGACTAGAAAATTCAATGATAGTCATAATTTGCAGAATGGTTGAAAGGAAAAAATGTCAAATGATGACATAGGGAGATAAAGCTGAGCCAGTGTATAAACTAGAAAAAGGAAATTAGAAAAAGATAAAATAGTAAGTTGTAAGTTGAGCAAATTCACTTCAATAAACTTGCTGAGCACATGCTACAGGCAATGTGCTATGTATGCTAGGCTGGGGGAGGTAGATACAGGCCCAGACACAAATACCATCACACATTTTTATTAGGTAACGAGGAATTATACAGGTGTTACGACAAAGAAAAATAAAACTAAACATCTTTAAGAATTAAAAATTCACTAGAAAGATAGAATGTACAAACAGAAAAGTGACCTATATAATGCATGATGGCAAGTGGCAAGAGACACCTGGCTGGAAGTGAATAAACTTCTAGAAGGATTCATTACAAAGACAGATGTAAACTGCCCGGTTACAATTTGGTTTGTGTTGGCCTATCATCTACAGATGTCACCCATCTGAATGTCAAAATGAGTTCAAGTTTTCACTTAAACAAGATCAAAATTGTGGGGAATTTTCTGTTTTAACATAAACTGATTTAAAACCAGTGTAAACATAAATGATGCTAGCATCACTTTGACTATGCCTTTTCCGTAAGTTATCACTTAGCAAAGATTTTCTTAGGTGTTATCTGATTCTTAGAATCCTAAATGTAAGTGAGAATACAATCCATTGGACAAGTTAAAAATGAGGTAGGTGACAACTATATTTAAACCTCAAATGACCACATGTAAAATTAAATATATCTCAGTATTGTAAGTAACAACTATACGTGATGTGGTATTCTGAATCAGATCCTGAAACAGAAAAAGGACTTCAGGCAAAAACTAAGGAAATCTGAATAGAGTTTGGACTTCAGTTAATGATGTAACGGTACTGGTTTATTAATTGTGACAAATGTACTATACTAATGTAAAGTGTTAATAATGAGGGAAACTGGATAGGGAGTACATGGGAACTCTCTGTACTACCTTCATAAATTTTCTATATATCTAAAA